CAGAGCCCCCCCCCCAACGCGGTGCCCGCCCCTTCCCTTCCCTTCCCTTCCCTTAAGGGGGGGGGCGGGGTTCTGGCGGCCCTTGGCCCACTCCTCCCCCTCCCTCCCCCTCCTGCCCCCAGAGGGGAAGCCAGGCCTCTTTTGCAGATCCGGGGGAAGGGGGGGAGGAGAAAGGGGTGGGGGCTCCCTTGGGGTCCCCTTTCCAGGGCATGCTGGCCTCGCACAAAAGAAAAAAGTGCCATGCGGGGGAGGCGGGGGGAGAGGGGGGAGGGGAGGGGGAGGGAGGGGCAGGCGACCAGGAAAGGCCCCGGAAGAGCCCCGCAGCCCCCCCGACCCACCTTAGCCCCTCCCCTGAAAGGCAGAGAAGGGCGGGGGGAGAGGGCGCGAGGCATCCTGGGAAACGGGGGGAGGGAGGGAGGGGGCTTCGTTCCTCCCCGGATGAAGGCAGGGAGAGAGGCCTACCTACCTGTGGAGACGCCGGCCGGCCTCCCTCCCTCCCTCCCTCCCTCTCTCTGCTTCGCCTCCAGGCCGGAGGAAGAGTCTCTGCTGAGCCCGCCCCCCGAGAAGCAGCCCCCCTCTCCTCCTCGTCCTTCGCCCTCCTATTGGCTGCGCCCGTGACGCCCCGCCCACCGGAGGCCTCCATTGGCTGGCTGCCGCTCTGCAGCGTTGATGGACGGGTGGCAAGGAGGGGGCGGGGCCAGGAGGAAAGCGGCGGGGGAGGGGGCGAGAGAGGGAGGGAGGAGAGCTCGAGCCCCTCCCTTCTGCTGCTGCTGCTGCTTCCCAGAAACCCCCTCTCCTGCTTGGGAGGGAGGGAGGGAGCGGTGACGTCACCGCAGGGGGAGGGGGGTTACACAGGATCCTCGAGCGGACCTCTCTCTGCAGGCGGCTCGCCCCAACCCCCCCCTCCTCCCCATCCCCTTGCCAAACATGGCTGATATGAATGCTGCCGCCCTATTATTCTCCTCTCGCCCCCCCCCCGCCGCATGTGGGTCGCCAGTGGGGGGCCACCACCCCTCCCCCGCACCCCCCCCCCGCCGCTCTGGCCCAGAGGGAAGAGAGAATGAGCCAGAAGACAGCCCCGCCTGGCCTTCTCCTGCTCGATTCCCATAATATAATGGAATATAATGCATGGTATGTTGTTATGGTGGCGCAGCTGGCCGAGTGTCAGCTGCATTAAGATCACTCTGACCAAAAGGTCATGAGTTCGAAGCCAGCCCGGGTTGGAGTGGGTTTCCAACCAATTGTGTGTAGCCTGTTGTCAACCTTTGCATCTGTCAAGTAGGAAAATTAGGTGCCACCTTAAAAAAGTGTGGGGAGGCTAAATTAACTGATTTATGAGGCCATAAAGAAAGAAGACTCCGGGATGTAGAATGCGGAAGAACTTCATCGGTGTCACTGATGGACGATGAAAGCAGCAGCTCCCCTGGCGGCCAGAAAAACGTTAAACAGCCTCTGTGTATGTCTGTATATGTTGTAAGTCAAAATGGGCATTGAATGTTGGCCATATATGTGTACACTGTAATCCGCCCCGAGTCCCCTGCTGCGGGGTGAGGAGAAGGGCGGAATAGAAAAGCTGTAAATAAATAAATAATAAATAAATTATTGCTGATTCGTTCAGTCACTTCAGACTCTTCACGATCTCCTGGACCAGCCCAGGCCAGAGCTCCTCCCTGTCGGCCGTGGCCACCCCCAGGGTCTCCTTCAAGGCCTTCAAGCCAGTCCCTTCAAGGATCTCATCCATCCATCCATCCATCCACCTTGCCCTTGGTCTTCCTTTTTCCTTCCCTTTCCCCCAGCGTCATGGTCTCCTGCACCACAGTTCAGATATTTATAATATTATAATGTAATCCAATATAATATACTACTACTAATAATATAATTCTGGTTGTTTCTGAATTGGACGTGGCTCTCAATAAATGTAAGAATGGCAAAACAGCTGGCCTGGATGATCTACGGATGGAACAAATCAAGAACTTTGGTCCCAAAGCAAGGCGCTGGCTGCTGGAGCTGATGAACAACTGCACGGCATCCTGTCAGATCCCCAAAATCTGGAGGAAAGCAAGAGTCATCGCCATCTTGAAGCCAGGCAAAGACCCAAAAAGCTACAGACCAATCTCCCTGTTGTGCCACCTCTACAAAGTTATGGAGAGACTTATTTTGCATAGAATTATGGAAAAAATAGACCCCTGTCTGATTCCACAGCAAGCTGGCTTCAGAAAAGGCAAAGCTGCACATCGCAAGTGCTGAACCTGACTCAGCACATAGAAGATGGCTTTGAAAGGCAGCAGATCACAGGAGCTGTCTTCATAGACCTGTCAGCAGCCTATGATACTGTGAACCACCGCCTCCTCCTGAGAAAAATGTACAATATCACAAAGGACTACCATCTCACCCGCCTCATAGGAAACCTGCTACAAAACAGGACCTTTTTTGTTGAGTTCCAGGGCCAGAGAAGCAAATGGCGGAAACAGAAGAACGGCCTGCCTCAGGGGAGCGTGCTTGCTCCATCCATGTTCAACATCTACACAAATGACCAGCCACTGCCAGAAGGGACAGAGAGTTTCATCTATGCTGATGATCGTGCCATCACCGCTCAAGCAGGGAGCTTTGAGATGGTTGAAAAGAAGCTCTCCAAAGCTCTAGGTGCTCTTACTGCCTATTACAGGGAAAACCAGCTGATCCCCAACCCATCTAAAACACAGACATGTGCCTTTCACCTTAAGAACAGACAAGCATCCCGAGCTCTGAGGATTATTACAATATAATGGTATAGTACAATATAATAATATTTAATACCGATATTGTACTATGCTAATAATATAATACATTTTGTGTGTGTGTGTGTGTGTATATATATATACATATATATATATCTTGTAAGCTGCTGTGGCCCAGTCTGTGTATATGTTTTGTGTGTGTATATATCGGTATGTATATATTTGTGTATATATGTGGTTTTTGCACATACGCTATAATGGTTTTTTTAGTTTCTGGCTTTTTAAGTCTCTTCTGCTGTGTTTTTCAGTGTTTTTATGGGTGATGGTCACTCGTTGGCCTGATAGGGGTATTGTGAACAAATTTGGTGTCAATTCGCCCAGTGGTTTTTGACTTATGCTAATCCCACAAACGAACACTACATTTTTATTTATATAGAAGATAAGGTAAGCCAAAACCATATTTACTTCGAAAGGAATGCTGTGATCACTAAAAGTCAGCAGGCGTTTCTCAAAAACAAGTCATGCCAGACTCACCTGATCTCTTTTTTCGATAGAGTTACAAGCTTGGCAGATGCCGGGAATGCCGCGGACGGAGCATATCGTGATTCCAGTCAGGCCTTCTTTCAGCAAGGTCCCCACAACCTTCTTGCAAGCAAACTAGTCCATTGTCGGCTACTCTTAGGTGGGTCTGGAATGGGTTAAGCGACTGAACCCAAAGGGTGCTTCTCCCCAGTGGTTCCTCCTCTTCATCCCGGAAAGAGTGCCGTGAAGAGGGTTCAGTCCTGGACCCAATTCTCTTCAGCCTCTTCATCCATGTGATGCTTTGTCTTATGTCTGATATAACAGGCTGTGTTTTCTATTTAATGTTAGTTTGTTAAGTTATAATTTGTGTTTATATGTTGGGTTGTTTAAATTTTGTTAGTATGGATGTATTGTTGTTGTATTCAGGCATTTAATGTTTACCTTTTATGTTTGGAATCCACCTTGAGTCCCTTCGTGGAGATAGGGCTGAATATAAACAAAGTTTTTAACAACAACAACAACAACAATATGAATGGCTTGGATGAAGGTTAAGAAGGTGTGCTTATCAATTTTGGAGATGGGACCAAATTGGGAGGGAGAGCGAATACTCCAGAGGACAGGGTCAGGTTGCAAAATGACCTCAACAGATCAGAGAGCTCATTGGCCAAAACTCACAAAATGAATTTCAACAAGGACAAATGTAAGATATGATACTCAGGCAGAAAAAAAAATGAAATGCAGAGATACTTTGATGGGTGACACCCGGCTCTGTAACAATCAATGTGAAAAAGATCTTGGAGTCTTTATGGAGAACAAGCTGAACATGAGCCAAGAGTGTGACGCCGCAGCTGCGAAAAAGGCCAATGGGTTTCTGGGCTGCACCTGAAGGCGTCTAGACCAGTGGTTCTCAACCTGGGGTCCCCAGATGTGTTTGGTCTTCAACTCCCAGAAAACCTAACAGCTGGTAAACTGGCTGGGATTTCTGGGAGTTGTAGGCCAAAAACATCTGGGGACCCCAGGTTGAGAACCACTGCTCTAGATCAAGCAAGTCCTGGCGCCTCTCTATTTGGCTTTGGTCAGACGTCTTTCCATGGAATCGCAATGTGTTCAGTTCTGGCCCCACAGTTTAAAAGAGAGATTGACTCTAAGCTGGAAGGTGTCCAGAGGAAGAAAGAGAGAGCCTCAAAGGATCAAAGGCTTGGAGACCATGAATCCCGATGAGAAGTGGGTCTGTTTAGCCTGCAAAAGAGAAGGTTGAGAGGAGACATGACAGCCATGAATAAACATGTGAAAGACTGTCACAGGGAGGAGGGACCAGGATTCCTTTCTGCTGCCCTGGAGACCAGGACTCAGTGGAGCCATGGGTTCAAATGACAGGAAAGGAGATTCCACCTGAACATTAAGAAGAGCTTCCTGACTGGAAGGAGAGCTGTTCAGCAGTGGAACTCTCTGCCTCGGAGTCTGGTGGAAGCTCCTTCCTTGGAGGCTTTAAACAGTGGCTGGAAGGCCATCTGTCAAGGGTGCTTTGATTCTGCTTATCCTGCATGGCAGAGGGTTGGACTAGATAGCCCATGTGGTCTCTTCCAACTCTAGCATTCTGTGATTTTATAAGAAAACCGAAGCATTGGCTAAAATAAGACAATGGCAGCACGCAAACCAAGTTCAAGAGCTGAATTAACAGAGACAAGCCGAGTACTATGGAGCAGGTCAAGAGTGACACTAAGCAACAACTCAGGTGACAGTTCAACAGTCAGGTGCCAGGAGCTTATTAATCAGAGTTCATAAAATAACAACCAAGAATGCAAGAGTACAAACCAAAGTCAGGGTTCCGAAGTCAAGCCAGATAGGCAAGTATACAAACTGAAGTCCATAAATCAAGCCAGGATGTCAGTTCACAACTTAGAATCAGGATACAACAGAGTTCAGAACAGGGTTGCAGCAGCAAGGCCAAAGTCCAGAATCAAAAACGAGGCAGCAGAGCCAAGATCCAGGACAGCAGTGCGAAGGTACGCCGTTATCTGCTCCCAAAGAGCGTGTCTTTTCCAGAAACCCATAATCATAAGATAAAAGCCTTCACAGATCACCCCAGAAGTCTCTGATGCTTTCCTTGAGGAGGACGAGGTCAGGTTACTCCCTTCAAAATGGCTGCAATGCTGAGAAGAGTCCTCCTCTGTGGGGGGCCTGCCCCCAGCAGCAATCAAGCCGGGCCACGCAGACTGCTGTCCATGACAGACAGAGAACAAGGCGGTGGCCTTCCTCTTTGCTTCCATTCTTTGCCTGCCTGTGGAGGGATGGGACCCTTGTCTGGGGAATTTTTAGCAGAACTGGAAACTCAAAGGCAGTAGTTCTCTTCCTCTAGCCGTGTGTGGGTCCTTTGATGGGAACGCAGATTTCCACTGTGACTGAAGCTCTTTCCACATTCCATGCATGGATATGGTTTCTCCCCTGTGTGGGTTGTTTGATGGTAACGCAGCTGTACACTGCAACTGAAGCTCTTTTCACATTCCATGCATTGATATGGCTTCTCCCCTGTGTGGGTTGTTTCGTGGGAACGCAGCTGTCCACTCCGTCGGAAGCTCTTTCCACATTCCATGCATTGATGTGGCTTCTCGCCTGAGTGGGTCCTTTGATGGGAATGCAGATCTCCACTCTGACTGAAGCTTTTTCCACATTCCATGCATTGATGTGGCTTCTCCCCTGTGTGGGTCCTTTGATGGCGACGCAGATCTCCACTCTGACTGAAGCTCATTCCACATTCCATGCATTGATGTGGCTTCTCCCCTGTGTGGGTCCTTTGATGGCGACGCAGCTCTCCACTCTGACTGAAGCTCATTCCACATTCCTTGCATTGATGTGGCTTCTCCCCTGTGTGGATTCTTTGATGGGAACACAGGTTTCCACTCCGACTGAAGCTCTTTCCACATTCCATGCATTGATATGGCTTCTCCCCTGTGTGGGTTCTTTGATGGGAATGCAGATCTCCACTCCGACTGAAACTTTTTCCACATTCCATGCATGTATATGGCTTCTCGCCTGTGTGAGTTTGTTGATGTTTAGTAAGAGAACTTCTCCACATGAAACATTTCCCACAGTCTGTACACTTATGTAGCTTCTCCCCTGTATGTGATGTGGAAGAGGGATGAAAAATGTCCATTCTTTTATATTTATGGTTCAAATATTATACCAGAAGTTCACAGATATGAACTCCTGAACAGCACAGAACTTCCTCTTCTTGGTCTTTTTATTGCCTTAGCCTTCAGGTTTCTTTCCAAAGCCCCTCCCTTTCCCCCCAAAGATGTTGCTTGAAATATGTCTTTCTCCTACTTATTCCTTATTCTTGCCAGTGCAGTGAGCCTTCATTTCAGTCTGAAGGTATCCCGAGGGCAAAGCTCTCACACGGCCTTCTTCACAAGGTTCATTCAGAGGCGACCTGCCAGAAGAATGAGAGGAAAACCAGACATCAATCTTTGCCTTCCTCTTTCAATATTCAAGATGGCAGCCCTTTCCATATTTCATCTCCCAATATCCAAGATGGCCTACTACTTAATGAATCCCTATAACCGACTTCTCAATGACTTCTTCCTTCTACTAATATCCAAGTTGGGTGACCTATTGATGCATCCCTCCTTCTCAATATCGAAGATGGCCACCCTCTCAATATATCCCTCCTACCAATCTCCAAGATGGCTGACTTCTTAATGTATCATTCTCAATAGCCATCTGACTGACATCTGAATACTGCTCCACCTGCCATTATCCAAGGTGTATCCTTCATTCTCCCAGTATCCAAGATGGCTACCCTCTCAATGTATCTTTTACTCTATCAATATTTAAGAGGGTTGACTTATTAATGAATCCCTTTCCCAATATCCATAATGGCAGACTTCTTAATGTAGATCTCCCTCCTCCCAATATCCAAGTGTCATGAGTACTCATGCCAGGCAACTATCAGTCTCCCCAGTACCATTGAAAATTGCAACATGCATCACGGGGCTCCCTCTAAGGCAGTGGTTTTCAACCTGGGGGTCGCGACCCCCAGGGGGATCGCCTGGCCATTTTAGAGGGGTCGCAAAGTTTGGGGGAGAACAGACTATGGATGATAGGACTTGCACTACCTTCACTCACTTTCTGAGACCACTGCGACCCTCACCCAATGACTGATCAAGACAAAACTTGGCACACTGAGCCCCCACGACCCACTCTCTATCCTGGTGCAGTTTGGAGGAGGATGGACCACAGATGATGGGACTCGCAGTACCTTCACTAACTTCCTGAGACCACTGCGAGCCATATAAACAACAGATAAAGACCAAACTTGATACACAATTCCTTTCTCAAACGAAGTGCCGGGTCCCCAAGCTAGTAAATAATAAATAAAAGGGGAATCCCAGAGACAGAGTCCTGGAGCGGGAAGAGGCCTGGCGGGCCATCGCCCCATCCAACGCCCTTCTGCCCAGGAAAGCACCCTGACAGATGCCCCCCCCCAGCCTCAAAGCCCCCCTCTGAGGCAGAGAGTTCCCCTGCTAAACAGCTCTCTCGCTCTTCCAGTCAGGAAGTTCTTCCTCGGGATCCCAGACGGGATCTCCTTCCCTTTCTGTCCTCGGAAGCCACGGTGGTTCCCTTGTGTCCCGGCCTCTCTCCAGGCAGCGGGACACAAGCCTGGCCGCCCCCTGCCCCCCCCCCGGACCCCTGCCCCCCCCCCTCCGCCTGCTCTCCCTCCGCCTTCTCTTCTGCAGGATCCACATGCCTCGAACCCACCAGGGCCAGCTAACATCTGCCCACCCAGGACGACTCCCCCAGGCAGGAAGCAGCCAGGACTCGAAGCTGCGAGGAGGCAAAGTTTCAGTGTCCATGCAGGTGGCCAAGGGCAGCATTCACCCCTGCCTCTGGCAGGCAAGGGCTCTTCCTCTCGCCCTGGGCATCACTCCCCATAGATACAGATATATACACACACACACACACACCCGCCCCATTTGCCTAGCTCCCAAGAGCCCCCCCCCCCCGCCCTCTGAGGAGGAGGAGGAGGCCTGGCTGCCTGCCTGGGGTGTGGGCGGAAGGTCAGGAGGGAGTGCTTCTGGAAGAGGGGGAGGGCCGGCCGGCCAGCCAGCCAGCCAGCCCCGCGGAGGCCTCCCCGTAGCAGCCCAGCGTGAGGGCAGGCCAGCCAGGCCACAAGGGCGGGCGGGCGGGAGGGAGGGAGGGGGGGGAACGGTCTTCCGGGCCCAGCAGCCAGGGCGCCTCCTTGCGGGACCGGGGCCACCTTCGGGCAGCGGCGGCGGCGCCTGAGGGGACACTCCGCCCCACCCCCACAGAAGGCTCACCTGCTTCCTCCCTTCCTTCTTCCCTCACATCTCTTCCTCCCAAAATGGCGCCGGCTGCCGAGGGGGCGGGCCTGAGTGACGTCACCCGCCCCTTCGGCGAACCAGCAGAACGGGGACGCCAAGGGGCGGGGCCTCTGCGGGGCGGCCGCGCTCCTGATTGGGCGGGAGGGAGGGAGGGGGCGGGGCCTGGCCTGGCTTCCCTCCCTCGGCCTCTCCCTCCCTCTCCTTTGGGGCCCGGGGGCGTGTCCTCCTCCCTCCTCCCAACCATTGGCTGAGCCGCGCGGGCGGGGCGGGGCGGAGGCGTGGGCAAGAGCCGCGCAGGAGGAAGCCCCCCCTCTCCCTCCCGCCCCCTCCCCCTCCCGCCCCCCCCCCCGATGTTGCAGGCTGAGCCCCCCTGGCACTCTCTCTCCACCTACGACGACTACCTTGCGCTGTTGAGTCTGGGTTTCATCTCTATATAATCCAAGTTTGCTTTTCAAGCTGATTTTTGCTGCTGCTGCTCCTTTTGAGTTTTGACCAGAGGCACTGGCTGAAGCAAGTGTCCCTGAGTCCTTTGCTTGCTTTCATAAACCGGGGATATCGACATCAAAGCTCCAACCATCACCCAAGTCAAAAAAGAAGAAGCCCATTAAAGCCTTGGCAGACCGTGCAAAAGGAATCTGCGCAGCCCACCTCCTCCTCCAAGAGGAACGGAACCCCCTCAACTGGGCTCGCCAGGCCAAGGGAGGCTCCACCTCAGGCATCAGAAGAGCTGCAAGACAACCGAGAAGAAGCCACGAGAATAAAGACCAAGATCCACCCAGAGGGAAAGTGTTCCTGCCATACATCAAGGGAACCACTGGCCGCAGAGGGAAGCTGATGAGGAAACACAACATACAAACCACCTACAGACCCACCAAGGAAATCCAACAACTGCTCCGTTCAGCAAAGGACAAGAGGGATCCTCTCACCTCTGCAGGAGTCTACCATTGTGTCCCATGCAGCTGCGGACAAGAAGTCTCCAGAGGGACCACCAAACGCAGCAGCATTGCCCAGACACGCATCAAGGAACAGGAAAGGCACTGCAGTCTCCTTCAACCAGAGAAGTCAGCCATAGCAGAGCACCTGAGGAACCAGCCTGGACACAGCATATTATTTGAGAACACAGCAATGCTGGACCGCTCTCACAACCACCATTTCAGGCTACACAGAGAAGCCATTGAAATCCACAAGAAGCATGTGGACAATTTCAACAGAAAGGAGGAGACCATGAAAATGAACAAAATCTGGCTACCAGTATTAAAAAAAACTCTAAAATTACAACAGCAAAACAACAGAGAGGAAACAACCAGGCACAGATTAACACCTCCCAGCAAGAGATTTTCCCAGGCTCAGCCAGGCCTTCAAATGCTAATGAAGGTGATCAGCTGAAACATTCACACCTAGCTCCAGCAGAGAAGAGCTCCTTGCCCCACCCCAGTCATTCCACAGATATATAAACCCCTTGTCCTAATTCCAAGAGACCTCACAACCTCTGAGGATGCTTGCCATAGATGCAGGCGAAACGTCAGGAGAAATGCCTCTAGAACATGGCTCTATAGCCCGAAAAAAACCCACAAGAACCAAACCGGGGTTTTGTTTTGTTTTGGACACACTTCTGAGCCTGGCTCTTTAAAAGCTTCTGGGCTGACACAAAAGGGCCTGAGAGGAGGGTGCCTTGAACCCCAGCAGCCCCACATCTGCCTTTCCAGGAGGAGGTTTCGCCCTTCCGAACCCCCTTTTCGTAAACATGCATTTCATTAAGAAAAAGAGAAACACAGTAAGTTCGCAATACATAATGCTCAAACCATACAGTTCATTGAGAGGCTGCCACAACTACAAAAATAAATCAGAAAAACACACACCACTCAAACACTCCTGTACGGACACACAAAGTACACCAACCAATGAACAAGCAGACCTGGGTCTAACTCTCAGAACGTCCCGCCGGGCTGATGGTGTCCCTGGCCATTCTCCTCCCGTTAAACAATCACGACAGAAGTGGGGTGCGGGGGCGTTCAAGTACTGTTACGACATGTTGATCTGCCCAATTTATTGATTGAATTGCAGTAATTCCCACTAAAACGAATAAGTTTATAAAAGTAAGGAAATAAAATGTATTAGTAACAATGTTTGCGATGAAATATACGCAGCAGCTACAGAGGAAACGACACAAGGATTATTTATACAGAAAGATTATGTGAAGCCTATCTGTATATATTATTATATGTATTGAAACTCTGATATGGAGTTGGTTTAACCCAGTGATGGGCAACCTTTTGAGCATGGTGTGTCAAAATTCGCCAAAAACTGAGCATAATTCAGGTAGTGTGTCACTTCAAGAAAAAAACCCCATTATTTTGCAATATTTAGTTTAAATAGGAATATTGCATTCAAAGCAGCCCTGACAGATGGCCATCCAGCCTCTGAAGCGATGAGACTGCGGCGCATGCTCAGTAATGAGCCCCCAACTTGAATGTGATATCGAGCTGCTTTTAGGAGGGTCTCCCCAGCCAAGGAGATCCTGAAGACCGCACCAAAGAGGGTCCCTGGACCTTGGTGAGGGAGGCAGGGGGTAATCCCTGGCCGCAATTTTCTAGGGCAAAAGTCAGGGGGGACAAGCAATACCTCATACATAATCATCTTAATACATTTTATACAGGAATGATCCCGTCCCCATCCCTCATCCCAAATATTCAATAAAAGAAATTTATTATTTATTCTGAAAGCCTGGAGTCAGAGGTTTCTTGAGAAGGTTCACTGCTGGCAGTCCCAAACAAGCAGCAGAAAGTCATTTCCTTGGTAGAAGTTTGCAGATGGGCGCTGGGTCGATTGATAACAAAATTCACGGCTTGGTCCTTGGGGAACTATAACTCCTTCCCAAGGACTGGGCCTCCTGCCCGGCCTCCTCCCCGAGGTCTCCTGGGGGCAGCCGCAGCAAATCCCCGGTTGCGGGGCTAGGCAGGAATCGAGCAGCAACAAAGAGAAATTCACTGCTTGCGCGGAGCCGGCGAAGCTTTGACAATCAGCTGGTTTCTGTCAAATTATATTCTTTAAAACAAATAATTATTTCCCGGGTGGAGGGGTCCAGAATGGGAGAAGCAAGATGTCAGTCAGGCTTAGAATTAATTGTAGAAAAATATAAAATTAAAACGGAGCCGATCCGCCATTTTGAAATTCTCGCAGATGTGGGCGTCCAAAATGGCGGTTTCGGTATCCGCAGTTTTGGCGGACGTGGATCCTGCGTCCCAGGGGTGCCGGAAAGGCATCCCCGGCAGGCTCACGGCTCTCCGGAGCCTGGAAAAGGGTTTAGTTCATGCAGAGAGAAGGTTCAGGCAAGGAAGGTTCACACAAAGTATCAAGCGGAAAAGTTTTTAAAGTTGCAAAACTCAAGTACCTTTATTAGGGATTAGTTACAAATTCAGGGCTTGGGGAAAGTAGAAGAAATTGAAGGCAGTCCTGGTTTGAGCTGTTGACTGGGGCACATTTCACCAGCTTTCTCCAATTTTGGCTTCCAGGAACTGCGGAACTCTCCGCTGCGGTGCAGACCAATTGCTGGGCGGGAGCCCCCGGCACCAAATGTGGGACTCCACTTCCCAGAAGCCTTAGCCACTGTTTCCAATCGTCAGTGGTTCTGGAAGTTGAAGTCCAAACTGCGAGAAGACGCTGCCGCCC